TCCAAATTAATTGTACCACTTCATTAAAATTCATCGAAAATAATTTCGGATAATAAAATACCAACTTAAAATTTTATTCTAAAAAGTCAGCGCGGGGCCCGCCCCTCGAAACCCGATAAAAGTTTTACGAAATCCGAACACCTATTCCGATACGAGTTCAACCATACCAAAATTATCAAATTCCGATGACGGACCACCCTTCAAATCTTAAATTAAAGTCTAGAGAATTTCTACTATTTTCAACCCAATTCACTAATTTAGTGATAAAAACAACACTAGATTCATGCAATTTAACCAAAATCAAGTTAGGAATTCTTACCCCAATGTTTTTCTTGAAAAACTCTCGAAAAATCGCCTCACCCGAGTTTTCTTGGTCCAAAAATGGAAGAATGAGACGGATTTGGACTTTATTCTGCTGCCCAGGGATTTGTTTTTTGCGTTCGCGACCCTTCCCTCGCGTTCGCGATGAACAAATTCTCCAACAACCATTTTCAAACTCTTCTTAGACAGCCTCTAGTGTAATGGTCATAATATTTTGTACAAAACTTCAAATGACAAATGGTTTAACTTTCTGGAAACTAGACTCAAAGAACTATAACTTTCATTTGTTGCTCATCTCCTCATTCCTTATATATTGCGAGATATAAGCTTCCAAAGTCAGCAATGTGCAACAGATATTTCCAAACTCTTCCCGGACAGCCTGTAGTGTATCCATCATAACCTTTGGTACACAACTCCAAATGACAAATAGTTTACCTTACTGAAAACTAGACACAAAGGGCTACAACTTTTACTTTTTGGATCATCTCCAAATTCCTTATAGATTGCGAGATATGAGCCTCCAAAGTAGACTATTGCAACAGAGATTTCCCTCTTCGTGAATGCGAGAGTCTCTTCGCGAACGCGAAGAACAAAATTCCAAAAGTCAAATCCTTCTTCGCGAATGCTAGAGACTCCTCGCGAACGCGAAGAACAATACCAGATATCAGCAAATCAGCATCCAAAGTAGCCCAAAATGATTTGAAATGCACCCGAGGTTCTCGGGACCTCAACCAAACATACCAAAGCGTCCCATAACATCATACGAACTTAGTCAAACCTTCAAATCACCTTTAACAACACCAAAAACACGAATTACACACGGATTCAAGCCTAATGAATTTAGAAATTTCTGAATTCTACAAATGACACCGAAACCTCCCAAACCACGTCCGAATGACTTCAAATTTTGTACACAAGTCAGAAATGGCACAACGAAGCTATTCCAATTTTCAGAATCGTATTCCGACCCCGATATCAAAAAGTCAACCCCTCGGTCAAACTTTCCAAAAATTCATCTTTCGCTATTTCAAGCCTAATTCTACTACAGAACTCCAAATAATTTTTTTGGACATGCTCCTAAGTCCATAATCGCCATACAGAGCTATTGACATCATCAAAATTCCATTCCGGAGCAGTTTGCTCAAAAGTCAACTCTCCGGTCCACTCTTTACTTTTAAGCTTCTAAATAAGGATTGTTCTTTTAATTTAATTCTGAATCTTCAGTAATTCAACTCGACCACACCCGCGGGTTATAATACATATTGCGAAACTGCTCGAGACTTTAAGTCACTGAACGAGGCGTTAATTCTTAAAACGATAAGTCGGGTCGTTACAATATATTTCTCTTTTGTTTTCTAATTTATCGTCGTTGAGGGTTTGCTTTACTAGCTTCCGCATGATACCTGATTATTTCGATCCTAACAAGTGGTAACAACGAGGTTCAAGACAGGTTCATCTAGGCGAGTTTAGTTCTAACTGCAACCTATTTGACGGTAATCATAATTTTTATCAGAGAAATTTGATCGGAGTGCTACTCACGTTGAGATAAACTTTTCTGGTGGAGATTTGGAGATGCGGCTTGTTGAATATTATGTGAATAAGGTGGATCAAGTTTATCTTATCAGAAAATCCAGGCGAAGGGAAAAAATTATTAGGTGTTTGTCCTGACTTTCTTAACATATTTGGTTTTTCTTTTCTTTGAAAGAAATGGCTACATATTTACCATATTTGGGTTTTTCTTCACATCAGGGATATGAACTGCATATGGTGTTTATTGACCTGGAGAAAACGTATGACAAGATCCCTAGGGAGGTTCTCTGGAGATGCCTGGAGGCAAAAGGTGTGCCAGTAGCTTACATTAGAGCGATCAAAGACATGTATGACAGAGCTAAGACTCGGGTTAGGACAGTGGGAGGCGACTCAGAGCATTTTCTGGTTGTTATGGGATTACATCAAGGATCTGCGCTCAACCCATTCTTATTTGCCCTAGTGATGGACGCACTGACATGGAATATCCAAGGGGAGGTGCCATGGTGTATGTTATTCATTGATGATATAGTTCTGATTGATGAGACGCGAGGTGGTGTTAACGAGAGGCTGGAGGTTTGTAGACAGGCCCTTGAGTTTAAGGATTTTAAGTTGAGCAGGACTAAGACAGAATACCTGAAGTGCAAGTTCAACGCCGAGTCAAGGGAAGTGGGCATGAACGTGAGGCTTGGATCATAGATTATCCCAAAGAGAGGCAGTTTCAAGTACCTTGGATCGGTTATCCTAGGACGGGGAGATCGACGAGGACGTCACACACCGTATAGGGGTGTGATGAATGAAATAGAGGTTAGCATCTGAAGTAATGTGTGACAAGAAAGTGCCATCGATACTCAAAGATAAGTTTTATAGAGCGGTGGTTAGACCGACCATGTTGTATGGGGTAGAGTGTCAGCCGATTAAGAACTCACATATACAGAAGATGAAAGTAGCAGAAATGAAGATGTTGAGGTGGATGTGCGGACACACTAGGATGGATAAGATTAGGAATGGATATATTCGGGAGAAGGTGGGCGTGGTTCCTATAGAAGACAAGATGTGAGAAGCGAGGCTCAGATGGTTCGGACATGTGCGGAGGAGAAGCCCTGATGCCCCAGTAAGAAGGTGTGAGCGGTTGGCTTTGGCAGATACGAGAAGAGGTAGAGGGCGGCCTAATAAGTATTAGGGAGTGATCAGGCAGGACATGACTTGGTTTCAGATTTTTGAGGACATGACCCTTGATAGGAAGGTGTGGAGGTCGAGCATTAAGGTTAAAGGTTAGGAGGTAGTTGAGCATTTTTCTACTTCGTACTGGGTGTGAGGCTAGTCTGATTGGGTTTGTCTTAGACTGTCAACGGTTAATGTTGTGTTCACACTATTCTTCCATTTTTCATAGCACTAGACCTTCTTTACTAGTTATTGTTATTGGGTTTCATCTATTTTCTTGTTCTTATGATGCTGTTATTACTTCTATGTTTTCTGTTGATGGTACTGATATATTGTTTCTTTTCCTCTTTCATTTTCTTAAGTCGGGGGTCTGTCGAAAACAGCCTCTCTACTCCATCAGGGTAGGAGTAAGGTTTGCGTACACATTATCCTCCCCATACACCGCACCTGTGGGATTTTACTGGGTTATTGTTGTTGTTATTGTTGTTGTTGAATTTTTTCTTTTTCTTAGAAGAAAATTATAGATCTCTCATATTTGGCTAATCTTTTTTTCTTGGAGAAAAAAGTTTTAGATTTAGATATTTAATAATAAACAACCTTCTTGTCCACAGTTTAACAGGTTGTTGATTCTTGACATTTTACAAAATAGTTGACAAAATCTGAAATTTGAAGATTCTCTAAAAAATAAATTAACATATAAAATGTCAGCAGAACTTGAATTTGGTAAAAGAATAAAATATTACGTCCACCTAACCTTTGTGGAGGTCATAGTTGACTGTCTTCTTCACCTAACAACCCACCCACCCACTTACCAACATGGAAGGACCCTTTTTGTGAAACTTGCAATTACATGGGGGCTCTTTTTATATAAAAATATTTAATGTAATGTTAACAGAAAGTATATGTTCAACATTTTGCAAAGTATTTGAACCTAGATCCCTAGGAAAGTCCAAATTTTTAGAAGAGATTGCATTTCATAATATATTACATTACCTGTGGATTTAATGGGAAAGAACTTAATTTGGTTAGTCTGAACTTAGTAATCACTTTACACATTTATAGCATCTAATATGAATTTATTCGAGATTGTAGCCACACTTTAATAGGTGCACATATACCAGATTATACAATGTTTAGTTAGTCGCATAAGAAAAAAAATAATCGTACATGAAATCGAGACATAACTAGTTTCACATAAAAATTTATATATTATATTATTTTATGCGGCATAGAATGAAGAATAAAAAATATGTATTAGCAATATGAGAATTAAGTTTATCTAAATATACAAATATCATTTTAAAGTAAGTAATTTATGTATAGTAATTCCTTCATTATTATTTATATAATCTTTAAATTATTAATTACTCTAGAAATAGCTTTTTATTCAACTTTTGGGGCCGTCATTGAAGTTACACCCACATTGCACAAAATTTTACAAAGTGTGCTCGTTCGAATCTAAAGCAGTTCAATCTCTTCAATGTAATTTCAGAAATTCGAATCTTAATTAGTTTAATTTATTGAATGCAATTTAAGATTTCGAATATTAAGTTTTGATACATAAACTTTTTTTTTGAATTTCAACAATCTAATATACGATTCAATGCTCAAATCTACTCCAAATGAGTTCAAATGTGAAACATAATTTTCAAATATCATAAAGAACAAATCTCAATCATCAAATTGTCAAAATAATAATAAATTTAATAACCCTATTTTGCAACTAATAATAAGAGGAAGAAACTCTAGGCACAAAGAACCGTAAAAAAAAAAAAAAAAAAAAAAAAAAAAAAAAAAAAAAAAAAGAAGAGAAAAGAGTATGTATTTGATCAATTAATTTTTTTTTTAAAAGTGGTATAAATCAACGGATGGAGGGGTGCCGCATTATAATTGGAATCAAACGAAAACAAAAAAAAAAAGTAACTTCAGAAAATGAGGAAAATTATAATTTGTTAAAGGACCGTCTATTTGGAAATTCATGAGAATACTATAAAGAGCAGCCATTGTTTAACAGGGAAACCACCGCGTTTGACAAAAGGGGATTAGACCGGTCTTCTAAATTTGTTCTCTCCATTCTCGAAGTAGTCTCACTTCAAACAGCCTTAGTTGATTGAGCCTACAAAGGTGAGTTCACACCGTTGAATTATATCTTCATGCATTCACTATTTATACTCAATTTTCCACAAATCTGATCGTAATCTCAACAACCCCAGTCCATAAATTGTTTATTGTTTCAATTATTTAACGTGAAATCTCATACAACTATATTGTTTGAAGCAAATCTTGGTGCTTGGTTGAGGTAGTAAAGGATCTTCTTGAGTCAGTTTCATCTGTTAAAGGTTTGATCTTGACAACCCAGTTCATAATTTTTTCCTTGTTTCATTTACTTGAAGTAAATTTCATCAGTTAAATGATATGGAAAATCTTGGTACTTGGTTGAGGTAGTACTAGTAGTAGTAGTAGTTTTGTTTTGGATAAGTTTAATCTGTCAAAGTTATGATCTTTATTTGTGATTGTTTAGTAGTTGAATCGATTTATTCTGTGAAAGATTTGATCTTTTTTGTGATAGTTTGATGTTTGATTCTAATCTGGCCTAAATTCTTGGATTTTGCTATGAGTTGCTCATTGTGTTCCACTGGGTGTTTTGTGATTGAATTGTTTCAGTAGCTGGTGGATTTAATTTTACCCGTGGTTTTTAATTCATGATCACCTAGTTCCTTTTTTCTCCCTGTGTGTGTCTTTGTGGGACATTATTGCTACTTCTTGTGCTTTTAGGTTTTTAGGTAAGAATGTGCACTTTTACCTTTTCGTTTCATCGGATGGGAAATCTAGAGATTTACTTGGTTCTTTTGTTTGCAAAGATCACCCTTTTGTCTACACCTTTTAGTATTTCATGATAATCTAATCTATTTTGTCCTACCTGCTGTTTGGTAAAGCAATTTGAACTCGTTTTTCTACTTTTTCTTCCCCGATCTGTTTAATAATGTGTTTATTCAGTTTTCAAAAATTGTGGCTCAATTCTTTTTTCAGCCTGGTTTCATGTCTCAGCGTGAATTTTTGGTGTTAGCCAAAACATCGTCCATTTTCTCAGATTTTGTGTTGGTATTGACCTTCCTGAGTTCATTTAGTAAGTTCATAAATTGCATCAGTTAATTAATATTGCCACTAAGCTCGTAAGTAGAGTCTACTTATGGTACGAGAATTGTCTATACAAGCGCTCTGTAGCATTTTATTTCTATACAAATTGAAGGTAAACAGTGAATGTGAGTTTGGGATGGACAGTGTTATTGAACTTCCTATTCTAGTGCATTTGTTTTCATTGTTTTTGTCTCCTTCTTTTCATAGGTTTTCCTCTTGAGTCAAAAAGTTGTCTGTAAAATCACTTGTGCCTTTATTTTCTCATTTTCACTGATGTCATTCTTGTTGTCCGCCAATCTGTCTTTTAAAGTCATACTAAATGAATCTGAATTGCCATTTCCTTGAATTTTGTTTTTGAATTTATAAGCGAATAATGAAGGGACAGTTCAATTTATTTCTAATAATGGACTTTTCAGTCATCAGATATCTTTACCTGACTTTGAATAGTGAAGTTGTTGTCCGTCTTAAGCATCTTTCACTAAATCAACCGTTCAACCATTCGTAGTGTTTTTGACTGATGCAAATCGGTAGGAATCAAGTATCTCTGGTTTATTTGCTCAATCCTAAGACCAAATGACCAGTACAGATATAAGAGTGGCAGGGAATTTTTGCAGAATCTGCTTTAAAAGTTGCTGTGATCTATTCTCTCTATTGCTGCTCTATTTCTCTTTGAACCTTTTCTGTTTTCATTTCATTGTAAGGGAAAAAAAAATGAAATTCTCACATCCTCCTATAACAGGTAACCAACATGGCTACACCGACAAGAATTGGTCTTGCTGGGCTTGCTGTTATGGGACAAAATCTTGCTCTCAATATTGCCGAGAAAGGATTTCCTATATCTGTTTACAACCGATCCACTTCAAAAGTTGACGAGACTGTTGAACGAGCTAAAAAGGAAGGAAATCTTCCTCTTTATGGCTTTCATGATCCAGAGTCCTTTGTACTCTCTATCCAAAAGCCCCGTGTCATAATCATTCTTGTCAAGGCCGGTGCACCAGTTGATCAGACCATCAAAACCCTTTCTGCTTACATGGAGAAAGGAGACTGTATCATTGATGGTGGCAACGAATGGTATGAGAACACTGAAAGGAGAGAGAAAGAAATGGCCGAGAAGGGTCTTCTTTATCTAGGAATGGGAGTTTCAGGCGGTGAAGAGGGTGCTCGCAACGGACCCTCACTGATGCCTGGAGGCTCTTTTGAAGCCTACAAGAACATAGAGGACATCTTGCTAAAAGTTGCAGCTCAAGTCGACAGTGGCCCTTGTGTTACATATATTGGTGAAGGAGGTTCTGGAAATTTTGTTAAGATGGTTCATAATGGAATTGAATATGGTGACATGCAGTTAATTGCAGAGGCTTATGATGTGCTAAAATCTGTTGGCAAGCTCTCTAATGATGAATTACAACAAGTCTTCACGGACTGGAACAAAGGAGAGCTTCTGAGCTTCTTGATTGAAATCACAGCTGATATATTTGGAATCAAGGATGATAAAGGAGACGGGTATCTTGTAGACAAAGTTTTGGATAAAACTGGGATGAAAGGTACTGGTAAATGGACCGTTCAGCAAGCTGCTGAGCTGTCAGTTGCTGCACCCACAATCGCTTCATCATTGGATTCAAGATTCCTTAGTGGATTAAAGGATGAAAGGGTTCAAGCAGCTAAAGTATTTAAAGCTAGCGGGGTTAGTGATATCCTTGTTGACCAGTCCGTGGATAAGAATCAGTTGATTGACGATGTGAGAAAGGCACTTTATGCATCCAAAATATGTAGCTATGCTCAGGGCATGAATTTGATAAGGGCAAAGAGCGTTGAAAAAGGATGGGATTTGAAACTAGGGGAGCTTGCTAGGATTTGGAAGGGTGGTTGTATTATCCGTGCTATATTTTTGGATCGGATCAAGGGGGCTTATGACAGAAACCCGGATCTTGCTAATCTACTTGTGGATGAAGAGTTTGCAAAAGAGATGGTTGAACGACAGTCTGCTTGGCGAAGAGTAGTCTGCCTAGCTATCAACTCGGGTATTAGTACACCGGGTATGTCTTCAAGTCTTGCTTACTTTGACTCGTACAGGAGGGAAAGACTTTCTGCCAATTTGGTTCAAGCTCAGAGAGATTATTTTGGTGCTCATACATATGAGAGGATTGATGTGCCGGGATCTTACCATACCGAGTGGTTCAAGATTGCGAGACAGTCAAAGAACTGAGGTCTTTTGATGTTTTCTTTTTATTTGACCTAATTGAATAAGGTTCTTGTTGTCATTGAATCTGGGAGGTTAGATTCTGTAGTATCTGTCATGTGGTCGCTCAAATGTTGGAACTTTACCTATATTGTTGTGAAGCCTATTTGTATCTTTAAGGCATTGGCCCTTTTCTTTCATTTTTGTCCTTTAAGTTACATATGATCATATGCAACCGGAGCAAGTATTTGTCCATGTGCTGGGGAAGCCTATCAGATCTTCTCCAGTCCTTTGTTTTGCAATATGAATCTATGATGATGTGCACTTCTCATTTTCTTTTGTTATTTGAGTCTATTTCTCTTCTCCCTCATCTTACATATTTCAAATGTTGTGCTTGCTAGTATCTGATTCAGTTGAAATGTTTTGAGTATTACCTGGGAATCGTCACATACACCCGTTTGTGTCATCAAAATCAGGAAAGCTGTGTGTGTTGCAAATTTTCCCTTGTTTTTTTTTTTAACCCTTTATACAATTTTCATAATACATAGTGATTGTCATTCTCTGCAGCTAAGGATCCTTTCATTTATTTCAGAAAATTGGCATGCTCCAAGTCCCTGTCTCACTTTCATCATGCTGATACTAAAATCTCAGGAAAGTATCTTTTCCCTGATCTCCCTTGGACAAGTTGTAAGGGGAAATTTACCAGCTAAATGACGTGTCTTGTCATAGAAACAAGGTTGCTAAATGTTAGTCTCTTACACTAAAACGAATTGTTTGTTGCTGGAACTGAATTTAGTTCCTTTGCCTACTGACAAATCTTGACATCTCAAGTCATGATTTTAATCTTTCAGGATAATTCTTAGATCACATCCATGGGGATAAGAAATTCTCTAGGCATAGTGATCACATTTAGACCTAAACTAACTTTTTTCCACTCCTAAATTTCATCTGTTTTAAACTGGTATCAAATATTTCTAGGTTTCCTTGTTTCTTTTCTTCAATTTACCAGCGAAACGTTATCTTGAATTAATTGGAAAGTGCATTACGTTCTCTCTTTGCTTTCCTTGCACACGTTCAACATTGAACCATGAAGTTTTTTGTTTTTGAAATTCTCATTACCAGATTCCAAGCAGTTGTCCATACTATTTTTAGTAATTCATGATCCTAACTTTGGCTCAACTATTGTTGTGGAGCTTACATATTTCTTATTAGTTTTTGCATTGGAATCTTTAATTTAGAAAATCAACTATTTATCAGTTTCTTCTGACTCACACTTTCTTCAGGTGAGTTCCAAGTGTTACTTCAAGAGTAGCTCTTAAGCATCAACTTATTTGCTAATTGTTGTTATAAAAACTTAATATCCAGATCTTGTACTTCAAGCATGAATTAGTTTTCTATTTGTTGTAATACATAACTTAATATCCGCTCTTGTAATCATCGTACCATGCTATGGCTCTCTTGAATTTCCAATCAATAGATGGTACGCGCAGCCTGATGCAAATGTTTGGATGCTAATTTAAAACATTTCAATTTTCAAATTATCATAGTAAGTAGTAACATTTTAACAGGACTGTGTCGACTTTTGCAGCTACTCGTCATTGTGATTTGAACTTGTAACTGGAAATAGTCAAACCTCTTTTCTTATTTGTTTATTGTGAGGAAACTTAGCTATATCTGCTATTTTTGTTTCACAGGTCAGACTTACTGTGTCCTGAAACCTATAATATATAAAGACCCTATACTAGTTCCCTCCTGTCAACTGAGTTACACATTTCTTTTTTCTTACCCCATTGATGTAACAGTTGTTTAACAAGAAAAAATATTGTGCCTCACTGTCGCCGCCCTCAAATCTAATATTTTCTCCTAGATGTCGATCTGCTACATGCATAATCTATTTTGTTCTTTGCTTTATGTCCTGAATCTTCTTTTGCTGCTTTTATATTTGTATCATACAGTTTCTTCTTTACCTGTCCGCGGTGTTCCTTGCTTGAAAACTTCTTTGTTTCTTTCTCTGCATGCTTAAATTGAAGCTTCCCATGACTTCTACCGATGCTTGTGCATACTTCTTGATGACCTGGACCAGACGAGGCATCCGAAACTAAGGAGTCATCACTCTCGCCATCTTCATTGTCATCATCATCATTGTAAAGATACTTATCTCTCTTCCTCGAACTTCTTTCATCACCATCATCGTCGTCTTCTTGATTATATTGATGAATAGGTGAAGCGATATACATTGTCCATCCCGACTCGTTGCTGCATTCTTCTGTGCCTCCAGAGAGTTTAGATGACTTCATTACCTTAAACTAGTAAATAAAAGACATTCAAGAAGAAATGTGACTTGTCTGTATGATGGAATAGAATTGACTCTGTTATTTAGCTTTTGCAACTTTATAAACTCCCTGAACTTTATTAGCAGTGGACAGTTGTTTTCAACATACAGTTAAAGTAACCCCACAGAGTACTAGCAAAATAGAGTTTGGGTTGTCCTTTTCATTCAGTAGTTCATCATACCAACCCTAACTGTTTTTATTTTTTTTAATTTTTTTTTACAATTATAATAGTTGTGTTTGGGCCAACTTTTACATACCTCGACTATTCCACATGGTATCTACTATTTCCACCAATATAGGTATCAGGCTATGTCTACCATGGCTTAGGCAGGTAAATCCAACTATGTGCTTTGGCATTTCGTATGAGGTTAAAATAAGATAGAAGGATTGAATTAAACGCTTTTGAACTTTTTTTTACGAAGTAGAGGTTGAATTATATCTTAATTTACAGAGTAGCGACTCAACAGTTTAACCTTTTGTGATTTGGAACATGATTGGAAATCCTAAGGAGAAAATCTTGCTTTGATTGTTGTTCAATGGCAGTATTCTATGGGGCTTCCCCACATAAAATTTTGATCTTGGCTTAGTATCTGTTATGACTAGACTAGAAGGTTCATAACATGATTTCAGCCTATGTATAGAGGCAACTCTTGTGCTGATTAAGGGCAGCCCGGTGCACAAAGTATTCCGCATTCAAGCCGGGTATTGGGAAGGACCGCAGCCCAAGGGGTGTGATGTAGACATTTTACCCTAATGCAAGCATTAGTGGCTGCTTTCACGGCTCGAATCTGTGACATATATGTCACACGGAGACAACTTTACGTTGCTCCAAGGCTCCCCTTCACCTCTTGTGCTGATTAAATCTTGAAAATTGAAATCTTTCTTGCTTTCTGGGCTCCATCTGGGATAATATTTTGGAAGTTTTCAAGTATCAGGGCAAGATTTCTTTTGCTAGGGAATTGATTCAACACCTTGTTTGCTTTCATCATGTGTTTCAACATTTAAATTATAGCAATCAGATTGCATGTGCACGGAAAATGATGCTTTAACTTGCAATTCTATGCATATGATTTTTCGTCAAGTTCTTGTGGACTACATAGTTACACATCAACAAGAAGCCTTTGCTTCTACTGTGGTTGGAATAGAGCTTTAACACCCTTAATGTGACAGGTGAGATAAATGCATTGCACTTGACTTTATTAGCATCAATAATACAACATAAATCCATATTCTGATAGATAATATAAATATTTCTTTCAGAAAAATGATCCAAAAATGGCACGAGTGCATCACCACACAAAGTGAAGAGAGACATCCCTAGTTAGTCACTCGGTGTCTTTCATTTGATCTGCCTGCTACGGAAAGTGATTGTGCAGGTGAAAGCAGAAAATAAAAGATTGGACAGCCCAACTACTTGCTGCTTTCATCCAACTCTGCAATGAGAACAGTGGCATACGGAGAATTTTGTATAACTGCATCTACCAATTATTGTTACTCAGCTTGTATGTAGAACTGAGTTTCGGATTGTAAAGGTTTTAAGACGGTACTTCTTGTTTCAAATTGATGTTTATTTATGTCATTTCAAGCAATGTCCGATATATATTTAGCAAATTTGTCGACAAATCGACATCAGATGACACCCCATGTAGAAGGGTGTCTCCGCCACTGAATCGGGAAAGGACTGTACTCCAATGGAATTCTTAGTTATGAGCAACGCCTTGTATTTATGACATTATGTTGCCTGAAGATATTCATAATGATCCACGTCTCTTTAGAAAATATTTTCTAGCAATTGCGCATGGACACTAATGACCGGTGCAAGACAACTTTCTGGATTCCAATACTCAATAGTCAATAGTCAATACCAATGGATCATTATGCCTTTTGGGCTTTACCCCATCAGTGTTCCAACGTCTTGGCCCAAATCGTAAGCAAAGAATGTACACCAATTCAGAAGAATTAACCCAAACAGCCGCTCACCTAATCTCTTTAACTATAAATAGCTGGCGGATATATATANTGTGTGTGTGTGTGTGTGTGAAATTCATGTATAATATATGCATAACTATGTATAATCAATGTATAATCTATGTATATCACCTAAAAAAAGTAAACATTGAATCTGACGGGCTATTTATGTAACAATCCCAATAATTTAAGTTGGTTGTCCTCCTGGAACCCCTTTAATTTTTGGCACTGTTGACAAAACTTGCAATTTTGGACTTCCGTCAGAAAACTTTTTCTTCTTCTCTTCCTTCTTCCTCTTTCTCCATCTTCATCATCTTCTCCTACTTCTCCATCTTTTTCTTCTCCCTCTCTTTCTTCTTCTTCCAATAAATTATTAGCACACAACTAAATTAAAAAACAATGAGACATATGTTATAGACAATTAAAGACTCGTTGCTTATTTGTGGTTGAAATTAGGTGAATAATCTTCGATTGAGCTTATATTGTCTAATCCTTAATGATTTTGGATTTCTTTGGTAGGAAAAAATTGAAGAACATCATTGTTGGATTTTGTTGAGCTTGAAAAAAAATTATTGTAGAAGACAAAGTGCATCTATTAATTTTGTATTAAAAGGGTTTATATCAAATTTGGAGTCATTTGGATTAATTTCGAAGTAAAAACACATTTGTAAATTTTTAACCCAAAAAGTTATGGCGTCCTCTCGGGATTTTATGGTCAATTCAAGCAAGTTGTTAGGCTTATTGATCAAAATTCTGGCGATCCATCAAAATTTGGCTGGTGATCTGACAGGATTTATGATAGGAGAAATTGTGCCATCAATTTAAAATATGAGGGATTTGTTGTCAAATTCTAGCGATTCGTCAGGATTTGTTGCTAAATTCTGGCGATCCGTGAGGATTTAGTCAGAAATCTTAGTGACTTTTGTGAAAAGGTAAGTTTTGTCCAAGTCACAACCCAGAATCCCAACCTCGAGGTCATGATGGCGCCTAACATCTACTTGTTAGGCAAGCCGACATGGAACAGAAAAATTAACCGATTTTAA